CCAATGCCATTGAATGTATAAAAAGACGTTTTGGCACCTTCCCATCCAAAATCATTGTATGCTCCTCGCGGCTACGTGATGGCAGAAGAAAAGCACTGCACCTCAAATCTAAATGTTACGGCGACTCTGATCATTGAAACATAGAAGTTCTACGTTGAAATTCAATCACTCGACGACATCAAGCTAATGGGTGTAAAGTCTTAAGAAAACTGAGCACCTTTGAAACATATCATGTGAATGAATACCAAGGTTTGGGTGGTTTTGAGCAAAAAAAAAAGACTTGCATAAGTCTGGACATAACAACAGAGTTCATACACCATCTAACTCCAAGTAATGGTAACGTCTGAACCAACATAGACTTATGAGTGTTAACCACCGAGTACTAACCACCAGATGTAAACACGTAGACTAGATACTCTATAACATGCGTTTCAGACGGGCAAAATGGATCATTTTTCCGGCTACAGCATCAAATAACCTATTTCCGCCATGCATGTTCATATTGTTTGTTAGTGCCTGATCGCCATCATGATGCGATGATGTTGGTAGCTGACCAGGGAATTTCTCTATCTCCAACGCTTTCCCGACACAACGCAAGCGGTTAGACCAAGACGACGATAATGGGCCTGTCTAGAGGTTCTTGTGTCGTGGTAGTCTGACAGGAAGAGAAATAGGATTAGATAAAACCAGGGGAAACCATGGCTGAGTAGGCCAAAAAGGGATAACTATAACTGCCTTATCTACTCCATCACTCAAAATCTTATTCATAACACTTCTCAATAGATTAATTTGAGGGAAAACATAGGGAGTAAAATCACCCCATGGAACTGAAAAAGCATCTATGCATTGGGAACCTGGGTCAAAGGACCAAGAAATGTAGGGTTTCATACGGTAATTTAACCTAGAAGCTACAAAATCATGTTTGGTAGGAAAAACTGTACACAAATCATGTCAAAAACATTGTGTTTAAGCATCCACTCTGTAGAATCAGAAAAATATCTTGATAAATTATCTGCATAAATATTCACACAACCTGGGAGGTATTGTGCAGCAAGGAAAATATTTTTCTCAAAACACCATTCCCAAGTTGATCTGGCAAGCCTGTCAAGAGTCACAGACTGCATACCACCCATACTAGTTATGTATGATACAGCTGTAGAACTATCAGATTTAACTCCAATACTAATATTACTACAGTCAGAGAAAAAGGTCTACAGCCCAAACAAAATGGCCAACATCTCTAAGTAGTTAATATGTTGACCAGATTCCTCACTAGACCATCTTCCCCCCAGCTGATTTACCATCACAAAAACGCCCAACCCAGACATGGAAGCGTCAGTTTCCATCAAAATAGATGGTATAGGGTGACGTATAGTGTTCCCATTACACTGTGTAACATTAAGTATCCACCATGTGACCTCGGATATACTATCTGTAGCCAGAACCATTTTCTGATCAAAGCCCCTATTGCTGACCTGCAATCATGTAACTTTGTCTCTTTCTAAAGGTCTGTAATGCAATGGGCCATGTAAAATAGCATAACAGGCATGCACTAACAACCCTATCTTTGATGCTACGTCTCTAAAGGAAATACCAGGACTCTTAAGACATTTATCACAAACAGATAAGATTTTGTCAACGATAAGACCAAAACATAATCAGTTTCTTTGTTGGAACTAAACTAGATTTTTCTGATTTATGGTATAACCTAACTTGATTAACTGCTGAACCCTTCCCTGCGTATTCTCTGCTGATACATATGAATCTTGATTCTTTTTAATAGAATAGAATCATCGATGTAATATGCACATCTGATTCCCCTTTGCCTTAACTCAGCATAGACTGGTTTAAGAGTTTTGGTAAAAACTCTTGGTGCTGATGCCAAGCCAAAAGGCAGGTCAAGATACTGATAAAGTTGGCCTTGCCAAGAAAACCCAAGATATTTTTGATTGCTGGGGCGAATAGGAATACTAAAATAAGCATCAGGCAGATCAATAGATGTAAGAAAATCATCTTTCTGAATGAGATCAAGAACAATCTTTAATTTTTCCTGTTTAAAATGCTGATACTCCACAAATTTATTCAAATGTTTCAAATTTATAACGGGTCTAAACTTTCCATTCTTTTTTTGAACAGTAAATATGGAAGAAACAAACTGACCATAAGCTTGTTCAACAGCCTCAGTAAAAGTTCTGAAATTTCCTTGGTGATTATCAGCAGATTCATCAGATTTTGAAAACTTGATCTCATTAGAAATGACATTTTGAAATGGTTCTGAAGTAAATTCAATTTTATACCAAGACACGGTCTCTAAAATCCACTGATCGGATGTTAACGATGCCCATTCACCCAGATATGTATTCAAGTTACTGTGTCTGCGTATGATCTCAGTAATCTCTTTAATCGTTGTGTCGATATCATCACCAAACAACCAGTTAGTTACTGGCTGGTCCTGGGAACATTTGTTTTTTTAATTTCTCCCTAATGATGGGACGCAATGCATATCGGCGCTTCAAAGACGCAGTATAACAGTCATTACCAAGAATAGCGACAGCATCGGAAATAAGCGTTTTACACGTAGCTTGTTTGTCACGTACCTCCCCAGGAAAGGTGGAGATAATCTCTGCCAAGCTAAACAAAGGAACCATTCCAGTGATTAATAATGTCTGTATGTCCTGTATGCCACTGTCGTAAGTCTGGGCCCGGTTTGAGACATGAAAACAGACTGTAGGGTTCACTCGGGGAACCTTCAAAAATTGGCAATTAGCAGGCCTTGGAAACTTAACAGTAATCTCAATTTTAATTTTCTCAGCCTTGCGTGTACAAGCTCTATCAACAGCAGTTGCCAAGGATTGAGAAATAGATGGACCAACTTTATCTTCTTCCTCATTTTGGGGAATATTCCACTCTTCACCCTGCTGTTTCTCACTTAAGGTCTCATCTGGCTCATATAGACTGGCCCCGTTATCGGTATCCTAATGAATCTGAATACTATCATAAACCATAGGCCCATGATCATAATCGCCCTCGTCGTAATACCCAGGGTCCTGTTCTGGAGCTCCAAGAGCAAATGGTATATTCCTAACTGGAGCCACACAAAACAATATCAGGGGTTTCATATGAGTATAATTGTCGGTAGAGGGCTCTATAAGAAGGTTTGTGAGAGTAGATAAACTACTCTCGAGTTTGTTTAGACCAAGTTGTTGTCTTAGTTTTTAGGTCACCTGACCTTAAGCTCAAGTGACCTATTGCTATCCGTTTTCGTCCGTCGTCGTCCGTCGTCCGTCGTCCGTTAACATTTTACATTTCAAACTTAAAGTCAAATTCTGCTGGGCCGATTGAACTGAAAGTTGGTAGGAATGATCGCCTCATGGTCCTGACAAAGTGTTGTTATTTTTCGGGTCGATCAGAAATCCAATATGGCCACCACGGCTGCCATTTTGAAAAACTATTTCAAACTTAAAGTAAAGTTCTACTTGGCCGATTGAACTGAAACTTTGTAGGAATGATCGAATCATGGTCCTGACAAAGTGTTGTTATTTTTCGGGTCAATCAGAAATACAATTTGGCTGCCATGGCCGCTATTTTGTAAATACCTATTTCAAACTTAAAAGCAAGTTCTAATAGGCCGATCTCACTTAAAATCGGTCTAGGAATGATCAGCTCATGGTCCTGACAAAGTTAAGTTAACATTATACTTAACTATTTTTTACTCAAATTGGTACATATTTCAACAACAAAAATAAATACTGTAGGACTCAGGTGACCGTTAAGGCCCATGGGCCTCTTGTTCTATATAGGAGGCAGAAGAACCGCTCGCCGGCCGTTTAAAACCTCTGCCTACTTTCGTTTTCGGCTCTGGATTTAAGGAAAGCGAATTCGCTCGCCCTAGGCCTCTGCCTCGCCGAGATTTGTTAGACCTCCAACGTAAAGCACGTTCGTCACAAGCGAACTCCGTCGGATTCACTTATTCACTTCTCTGTTCATTATCATCAGCAACATCACTTCGCCCTTGTCGGCCATGGTTATGCTGGAAAAACGAACACCGCGTGTCCGCACCAATACCAGAAATAATATACGAACAGAAAGACTTACCTTTCTCTTTCTCCACACCAACGAAAAGCCGGGATAAAAACGAGTCTAAAAAATACTTCGACTCAGAATGACAGTCAAGTAAACGTACTAAAATACAGCGTGTCTGTCCCACAAAGCTCGGAAAGAAAATATGGCGGCTTCGGGCAAGTGCATGGTTTTATGCGCAGGTGTGCCAGGAATATTCATGAGCTAAAGCGCTTTGAAGACTGAGTGTGTCTCACTGGTCAGTGAAAATAATGTTATATGATACACTCGTAAGCCAAAGGCTTAGCTAAATGAATGTACATGTGTATGAACTTGTGTGTGAATCATAATGTGGGAAGAAACCGGAGTACCCGGAGAAAACCCATGTGGTCGGGCAGGTGACCCCCAACTTTTTCACGTCCGATCGGGGAATCGAACCCTGGTCGACTTGGTGAAAGGCAAGTGCTCTTTCCACTGCACCACTCAACCACCCGTTGTTTTATTGCTATCACCTCTTGATGTTAAACTTTATTTTACAGATTGGAAACCGTAAATAACTTTTTTTCAATGTCAAATTGGCAAAACAGTTTGAATAATTGCGTAGACAACACAAATTACACTCAGTAAAATCGGCAAATGGTATTCAATCTATAGAGAAACAGCTGAGACGAGGTTGTCCTGATATTTGCCGCTATGGCCTTGTTTGTGTTGATGCGCCGTTACGAATCCGACAAAAAGTTGCAGGACTACATTATTATCTGAAATGTCACAATTACATAAATGCAGCACGTCTATCACTAGATTTGCTTTGTCAAATAATTTGTTTCAAAGAGAAATGATAGTGTTGCTTTCAAATAAGCTTTATCGGAGTATAACACTTGATGATTATTATGAGTTGTACCCATGTTTTACAGTTCGGTATTTTTTCTTATTTTTTGCAGGTATACTTTTTTGACGTATCAACCCCTAAACACATTGCTACTGAATCCAGGACGGGGCTTCTCCGAAGAATACTCTATTGCCGACAGCAATTTCAATCCAGTTGAGGTTAGATGCTGTTTTCGTTTCTATCTCTCGTTCACATATATGTATAACACATTGGCATGAAGGCATATATTCACTATCCTTGGCATTATTTTAAGCATTTTTATTACATTAAAGACAGCGTCATAGTTTGTCGGAGTTCATGAATATACAGTAGGCATGTACATGATAGCTTCGGGGGAAAATATACATGATGTAGCTAATTGCATGTCGCAGGATACTATTGATGTGGGACCTTCTTTTGGTTGTTAGTTATATAGAGTTAAACGTCCTATCAACAGCTAAGGATTTGTCTCCACGAATGTTGTGCATGCATGTATAGTAAAACCTTGTTATACCGCCACCTTCTGTCCTCTGAGATTTTGGCGGTATATCGGGTTTACCGTTTTGAACCCAAGTGTTTATACACAAACTGAACTTATACTTTGAAAAAATTCAGAATACGTTTTGTTTCAAAATTGTAGTTTAATGTATCAAGCTGTTGAGCGTGCAAAACATAATCACAACATGTAGAGTAGTGTCACGCGTAAATAATGTTTAATTAATGCCGTGATACCCCGACAATGTCAACGCAGAACATAATCACAATATGTAGAGTAGTGTGACGCGTAAATAATGTTTAATTAATGCCGGGATATCCCGACAATGTCAACGCAGAACATAATCACAATATGTAGAGTAGTGTGACGCGTAAATAATGTTTAATTAATGCCGTGATATCCCGACAATGTCAACGCAGAACATAACATCACAGTACATGAATGTACATACCCAGTCAATGTTACACACTATATCTGACGCTAAAAAACACCGATGGTCGTTTGCCTTGCCGTGTTTTGTTCGATTGACTGCACGAAATTCTGTATCGCTAAACATTACTGAATGTCCTACTCTGCATCCGGGTTCTCTTGTATCACTTGCTGTGCGTCGTCACGTGGTATGATACCGTAAATGATGTAGTCTAAAATTGTGCGTCTTCTCTTTGGCGTGTTCATTTCGAAAATGAAGAAAAACAAAACAATAGTAAGTAAATCGCTGAAGTGAGCTTTATTGATCATAATTTCTGCAGTAATACTTACCTGTAGAAAGACAATAAAGTTCTAGTTATGGTTCAACGATTTCATGTGTACACAACCATAAAGCTGATTACCTGGTCAGTCGGCAGTCACGTGTATTAATACAATGTAAGCATCTACGTAACATTCATCGCGACTCAAATTGGCGGTTTTTAACGAGATCAAAATAGTGTGGGTTTAACCATTTGTTTTTGAAATAGATTGGGGTTTGGCGTTACAACGGGTGCATTAACGTTGAGGTGTGGGGGGAGGGGGGATCCGTTCAGAGTAAATTAATGGCGGTATGCGTGTTTGGCGGTTTAACGGGTGGCATTACAACGGGGTTTTACTGTATGTGTGCCGGAGATAGGGTATATTGGTGTATTTGCCTTCTTGTAGAAGCGCAGAACTGATGCCGACTTTAAATTGCTACCTCACTTGAATAACGTAAATTATGATGGGGGCCTCACATAAGTAGATATAGTCACGAATATGTAGAGGACTGAAGTATACGCTTTTATTTGTATGTTTGAAATGTTTTATATTGCTTTTGTGTAAGTGGGAAAGAGTTTTTTAACTGAACCCTTCGGTTTGGTCTTTATTTTGTTTAGCGTCCTATTAACACTTGAAGTCATTTTAGGACATGCCTCTGTGTTTTTTGTATGCGTGCGTGTGTGCATGTGTGCATGATGTTATGATGACGTAGTTGCCTCCATGTGACAGTGCGGATCTGCTGCCGACTGTATAGTGCTATCGCACTAAAATACCACTCCGAAGGCACCAAGTACAACATTCTGCCCGGTTATATTAAAATGAAAACAGGTGAACTGGTTGTTGCAATTACCCCAAATGCTGAAAGCTGAACTGGGAATAACAAATTTCATTCTTAAAGACTTTGGTATATCCCAGCCTGGGAATAGAACCCATTTCCTCCCTCACCAAGCAATGCGCTATGACATATAAAGTAGTGGGATGTAGAGAGAAATATAAAGATCACAAATATATTGCAATAGGGTGCAACAGTTGTATTATGTCTCCCCTTCGAATGAAGGGAGACATATTGTATAGTACTAGTTCTTCTTCTGGTTCTTCTTGTTCTTCTGGTTCTTCTAATCGCAACTTGTCTGGGCCATAACTTTAAAAACCGTTAAAGAATATATGGATCAAACTTGAAATGTACCTGCATCACCCAATTAGGTATCGTGCCCCACTATATGCAGAGTTATGGCCCTTTGTTTATTTTTGATACCGAAGTTTGTCCACGGCATAAGTTCCGTGTTATTTCCTCTACGTTGACAGAACTTGCAATAAAAATAATGAGGAACCAGAATGTAATCAGATGTGTGATTATTCCTATTTTTATTTAAGGTTTGAAAGTCATCCACTTTTATTATTTGAAATTAAGAAAAAAATATCTTTTTTCTCGTAAAGAAGCAAAACACCGTCATGAAAACCACATTAACTGAACATCCTTTTTCGCGGGAAAGATGAAGCGTTGTCAACGGTGACGAAATATACAGTTGAGCAATAGACAAATAGTTCCACTTTGCATATTTTTTAATAATTTAATTTACATTACCAGCATGTTTAACAAGCATTGATTATCTTAAAAATTGACTGTAGTTCTAAATTTAAAACAAAAATACCATATCAAGTATTTTAGTTGCAAAAATTCAGAAATTTATTCCGTGTCCGCGGAGAAAGCTGACCGTTAAAAACGGTTGTGCAGCGGCTACGAAGCGGTTCGACTTTCAACGAGATAGAAAGTGCATTCGTGAAATTTGGAGTTTCCTTAGAAACCAGATGACGATTTAAAAGATGCTGTTGGCTAAATTATTGTGTCGATCGACTGTGTCAACAGGACTAGCTTATCGTTTGAGTATTCGGCATGTATTACTATCGATGAGGGGACTGGCCGACGAACCGGGACGATTTCAACTGCTCCGCCACTTGCAACGGACGCTAGTGTAGATTCTAGAGGACAGTGAAATATTCTGTTTTGTTGAAAAAGGTCCTGTCAAAGGATCTTATAACAGACACGCGTCGGTGGCCCGCCATAAACATGACGTGCCTTGATTGAAAACCACAGTCATTCCATATCCTAGGGACACGTCCGCGACGTCGCTGTCAGACATAGCTGGGGCACAGGGGTTCGTTACAAATATCTGTGGCTGGAGTTAGCACACGACGTATTTTAGACGCTGAAAACACGGACCTAAATTTCAGGGTGATTTCTTCTTGATAATATAAAAAAGGGATTATTAAAGTATATTTACATGTATTTTGTTTTGGTTTGTTTGTGCGTGTGTGTGTGTTGGGGGGTCAGATGTCATGCAACGGTACATGTAGTACTGTGAATATTACTACACACTTGCTTTTATTGAATCATGCCAACATTTTTAGTTGGTACTGTTATCTAGTGGCACTGCAGCACAAATGTAAATATATACTTGTAAATGTGTCCATAGTACCATAGCTGCCGACTCTTAACCAAATTGTTCAGCCAATTTAACAATAACCAGAATAATTTTAAAGTTTAATGGTTTAGAGTTTACACACCTCAATCTTGATGTGACCTTTCTATTTATCCAAATATGCATATTAGCTAATAAGGGGAAACATATGTTTTTGTTCACCATAACAAATTTCTAGATTTTAGTTAGGTCGTTTTTGTATGCCCAAGTAGAGGAGGGCACAAAAATAAATGATATAAGAGCGTGCCGTTATATGAGTAAATTATACCAGTATGAGTGCTGGAGGCGATATGGTGATGCTTTTACTTTTCTCTCGACATTAGCAATCAGGCAAATACAGTTTTCTCTATTATCTTACATAGCTGACATTATTTGGTCTAATTGTTTTGGTCTCGCGTACTTAGAAAGGACTGAAGAAACAAGCGTTGGTCTACTGCCCCCCTTTTTCAACACCTTGGACCACCTTCTTTTATCTTTTCACTTCTGTGCTCTTTATGAAATTTAGTTTTCAAATAAATCAAACTGTATTCCAACCTTTGTTATTCCTATTTGTCAATTGATTTTGCCTGAAGTTGATATATCATTTCACTTCACTTCAACCTAAAAATGTCACCGAGACAAAGTTGTCCTTGCCTGTCTTCAAATGTGATATTCATACATCACGCGCAAATAGTAACTGCTCTGCATAACCTGTCACGAGCCATTTACAATAAAACACCTGCAGTAGGATTGCACTGACATTTATCTAACACGGAAATTTTTGATAATTATATAACAAATTTCAAATCTCCTTTCTAAACGGTAAGTGTCGCTACAATTTTAAACCACCTGTTGGTCTGTTTAAAAAGACATGGATAATAATTTGAGCCTCTTTTACTTTTCAAGTTGACTTTTGTCTTTTACCCTTTTGTTTGTTAGATGTCATTTCCTTTGGTATGTTTACAGACCTTTTATTTCCCCTAATGACCTTTTCTGTGTTGATGGTCGTTAAGAATGTAATAATTATACATTCGCCATATTCATATTGCCTAAGCTGGAGTGAAAACGTAAAACCCTAAACAAGCTGACTAATCCGGAATGTATTTTATTTGACAGCTGTATCAGCTCGACTCTTTGCGTCTAACGACTGGAAGTACGCTGGTACATCGTCATTACTCCCTCCAGGACTTCGTAAATACAGCAATTTCTACGGAATTCATCCAGAAGCTAAATGCTGACTTCAACATTATCAGGGAGGCTGGATTCATGGTCATCCTGCGATTTAGCTATACAAAAGATCTCTCCACAACGGTATGACATGTTAAAAACGTAAATGAACATGCATTGCATGCGTGCATCGTCACACATGTGCATATTGTAAAAATATCGCCAAAAGTCAATATTCATGTAAAATTAGGTCGAATGTCGCATTTGTTACATCTATTCAACTTGGCCATGTCAAATGTGTAAGATATTAATATTTTGACAAAGTTATTTAACTATACTTTACCTTTCAGAAAACCAGTAAACATAATTATATATTAATCGTACAATTTCAAAGGGACCACCATATAAAGACGCCAGCTTGGAAAGAATTAAAGGTCACATCTTTCAGTTACGAGACCTCCTACATGCCTATCGTGGTATCATATTAGTGGTCCAAGCCGGCTTTATAGGAGTTTGGGGTAAGTGGTATGTTTGCTTGCTTTTTATTACAACATATAGGAAAATTAACAAATGTTACATTATGGAACAATAAAACTGATTGAGCTGAAAGGAGTTTCGACAAAATTCGTACGATCTGTGCCACAACCTTAGATTGGCAAAGAGTAAATATGATCTGTTCTAAGATCTACGCCGACAATCTATGTAGACTAACGTTTAGGATAAAAATATCCATAGACCAATCAGTTGATTAACCCTGGTTGTTATCGAAACACGAGGTCTGCGGCGTCATATGCACATAGTGTTGATGGCGTCAATGAAAGATATTGTTAATTTAGTAATAGAAATGTTTTTATCGTCAAAGATTTTGTCCTTGCATTTACTGACTTGAGATGAAATGAAATCGTTTTCACGTTTGTCTCAAAATAAAATTTCAATCACATATCATTTTGCATTTGGCCATTTATTTGTGTACAGGTGAATGGTATTACACTGATCACTTCGGGCTACCACCTCTCAACCAATCTAACCTGATTGATCGTCGTGAAGTTATTGAAACCTTACTTTATGTCGTTCCAGAAGAAATGTAAGCGATGTTTTATTTTTTGTGTTTAGATGTAGATCGTTGTTTATGTAAATATCTAACAACTAATAGTTTGAAGCCGTAATTTTATTTTTTATGAGTTTTATAGTTTTTGAAGTCCGTCCATCAAATATGCAATTTTGACAGAATTCGACTTTAAATTACAAAACAAAAATATTTGGTTTCCTACCTTCACAGACATTTTTGGAAATTCGCGTGTGAGATTGAACATTTTGCCCTTACCTATATTAGAATAGAATATATCTATTTTATCCTTTCAATCAAGTCAAATTCAACTACGCACACCAGCCATCAAACGCCAGTTGTACGGCTACGATCCCACAAAGGCCACCGATATTCCGAACAAAAAAAAAAAATCACGTTTAGGTGAGTACACGTGCATATTAAATACCATCTACGCTTTTCCAACATCATATACTAATATAGTTAATGACTTAGGATAATTGTATTTATTTCAAATTTTTAATAGCAATCTTTATGGATGAGGTTCATATCGCCTAAGCTTACATGTCCCCCAGCCAAACTTGGTAAAAAATCTTTCCAGTCTTACTGCAGGAGAAACATTTTAAAAGAGTCATATATATCCGCTAATTGGCCCTGCCGGCGCCCTAGGTTGGTCACACCCTTTTTTATACAAAGTTTAGCCCCTTTTTAATGATTTCCCTCTATAAGCACTATTTGTCCCCACCCGTTGTCCCAAAGAGGACCACACACTCCGTTTATACAAAATTGAATTATTTTTGTTAAACAAATTTTGTTAAAATCTCTTCATTGGTATTAAAGGAAAAGGTTTGCAAATATTGGTCCCCTTTAGGGCCTCACCCCTCTATCCCATGGGGGCACATCATCAGTGTATAAGAAATGAGTCCCCTTTTCCAATGGATGCTCCAGACAACAAATTTCTTCATTGCTGACCTCTTTTTCCCCTATTGGGCGCCGTTCTCCTGCTCCGAAACCCTACACCATATGTTTATACAAAACTGAAAAACATTAAGCTTGATTAAGAACGCTCCACGCCAAAGTTGGAAAAAATAACTGATCCATTACTTACAAGTAGCTGTTCAAAGGAAATGTTGGCGGACGATGGACGTCGCGCCATGGTATAAGCTAACTTGACCCTTAGGGCAACGGGAACTACACAAACATATATAAAATTCCGGGGCAGTGTAATTTCATCGTACATATTACTTCTAAATGATGTCATCCTGTAGTTATATTTCTTTATCACAAGATAAATACCATAATATGTTATATTATGCTTTTAAAAGGTCACCATAACGACTGTTTTCTGGCCGATAAGAACGACCGTGGCACGTACACTAATTACATCACGGAGTTCAATTACATGAGCACGGACACGGAGCGAGTAATCATGGGCGGCGAGACATGCGCAATTGACAATATAAGTAATAGGTAAGGAGTCAAGTTTCAAAAGACATGTCGTTGTCAGTTATTTCTATTTAACTTCTTTTTTGATCACATGTTTGTTAATTTGAGTGGAACAGGTTTGAATCCTGATGGATATTAGAATATTCTATCTTGTTTCCGATGTTACAATGTTTTCCATTAACTAACGGTAATGAACTATTTCCAAACATTCGCGTGCTCAAATCTACACCAACTGAATGAAAGTCATTTTTTCTTTTAAAGCAAGATACATCTCATTACAACCGACAACTGAAAATGTACTGTGTGTGATCGCCTAATGTATATAACTTGTGATTTGAACAATTATTCGAATAATCCATTTCATGCCATGTATTTTCATGTTTCTTGAACTTTTCTCATATTCTTTTAAATTTAAAGTTCTTTTCGATTTTTTTTGGTCCTGATGATCCATTTCGTGTTGATGAGCCGTAAAGAATGTAACAGTAATAACAATTGATATTTAAGAGTGATGATTATAAGTTGTAACAGTTTGTGTCATAATTATTGTAAAATGAACAAAAAATATATTAATTGATGCAAGCATGTCATCATATAACCAGCATATGTTTATAAGTTAAACTGTTTTATTATTTGTAGACATGAATGTCCAAACGCTAAGAAAGAGCTTGAAAAGCTTCACTTCACCTTCCTAGCCCAGTCATACCTTAAGGATGTCCTTGACATTTGGAAGCAAGGAGCCTGCTACCACACGATCGAACGAAAGCTAGGATACGTACTGTCTCTCGTAGAGGTAAGGGACATACATATCAACTTTCCATTTTAATCCTCTCTTACGATGTCCAATGATAATTTTGTCAGTATCAACATGATCATTCTGCTTTAGAGGAAATGTGTATAAGAACACTGCTTTGTTTGAATCGTGCTGCGTGCATATGAACTCAACGGCGTTTTTTGTTTGTCTGTGAATAGTACAATGACACTCAAAAGAAACGCAACCCCCTTTAATTGTCCATAGTTTGAAATAACTAATGAAATATTGTTAGCCGTGTTGAATAGCATGGTACATGTACCATACAGTTTTACCATCAATATTCACGGTTGATTGAAATCTGTAACACTACGCGTTCTCATTTCCACGAGACTTCAAGACATAGCTCGATTAGCACGTGCCCCGATACACGTGGCCGCATTTCATGCGTCCCAGACCTGTTTATCATTCTTCAGGTATCGGGTAGGAATAGTCCGGTACTAGAAAATCGTTTCTGATTACGTCAAAATACCTGGACTAACTAACGACGCAGTGCAGTTACTATTGGCTGGAAACTTCCAAAATACTGTGGCAAGAATACTGAATGTCCATAAAAAACCACAATACGCCGTCTTTAAAGCCGCCTTGGACTAACTAGGACAACTGCCGACCGCCCTCGAACTGGCCAATCGAAGATTACGACGTTTCGACAGGATCGATTCACGTAGTTGCAGCACTTGTGCATCCGGTTCAGAACTGCACTGCATAAGAAACAAGGGACACTCAATCCTAATAAGCCGAGGTAACGTGTTAGGGCGTCTCCGTTCCTATGACATTAAGCCGCGTCGCGTTGCAGTGGATATGCCCCTGAACCATGACCGTGTACTCTTCTCCGACGATTCACGCTGTACCTCTCGAATGGACGTCAGTTCTTGGTGAACGTTATGACGATAACTGCATGGTGGAAAACGACAGGTGTGGTGGTGGCAGCGTTATGGTGTGGGGTGGGATCTGTAGTTGCCGCAAAAACCCCTTAGTCGTCATTGAAGGTAATGTGACAGCTCAGCGGTACTTCGACGTTATTCTAAAACCTGTCGTCGTTCCGTTTGTCCGCCAGCATAACGTAATCGTTCAACAAGACAATGCTCAGTGCTATGTGGGGAGATGTGCAATGGATTATCTTCGCCGCAACCATGCTGATACGCTACCGTGGTCCCCCAACAGTACGCATACACTACACGCATGCATCTTGCACACAGGGGAGGCCGTCCTTAAATGACCATAGCTGTTGATGGGATGTTAAACAATACAATACAAAACAAAACAAAACAAAACAAAACCCCAACAGTAACGATCTCTCGCCAACAAAGCAAGTGTGGGACATGATTGGTCGACGCATTCGAACACGCTCAAATCCAACAGAGTCAAACAAGAGACTTTACGCGCTCTGCGTCAGATGCTTCTGGAAGAGTGGCAGAACACCCATATGGCACAAATAAACCGTCTAATCAACTTTATGCATCGCAGAATTCGAGCAGCAACAAATACTTACGGAGGTTAGACTCGTTGTTGAAGTAGGACAATTCCAATGGCCACCCCACCCCCTCTTCAGTCTTGACTGTTGCGCGCTAAATTAGCTGAATTATCCAATAGAATAGATGTGTATATTAAATTGGCTATGTTACTTTTTTTTTTACCGATAATTGGAGTTTGCGTTCTTGATATTCCTCTTTGACTTCTGGTTTCACCGGGGGTTGCTCTCTAACTTCATGAGACATCCAAATCTGACACCGAATCTTACATTTTTCGTTCGAATTATTCAAAACTGCAGTTAAAATATAAGGATTTTCAGTCATTTTATACGGACGGTTCGAAAGATGATCATAAAGTCGCCACGGCAATTGTAACGAAAGATGCCACAGTTGGATGCCAGATCCCAAATGATGCGTCATTATTTTCAGCAGAAGCACATGCTATTTATATCGGCCTTGAGCACATAAAATCATAAGATGTACCACAGTCAGTTATCTATTCTGATTTTGTATCAATTTGAAGAATATCTGACAGTTCGAAAAGTCTTAACATTATTACATAATATTACCTTAAACTTCATTTTAATGATTTTAAACCACTTATTACAACATTTCTAAGATCATAGCGGCAAAATAATTGAAATTAATGCCTAAACAACAAATTACATTCTATTAAACCTAAAATCTGTGAATGACATCCTAGCTACAGAAAGAGGCGCCGAGACGAGGTTGTCATTGCCCGTCTTCGGAAGGGTCACTTTAACGTGATGTCCAGCCTCAATGCATAGCGTGTCAGGAACCATTTACCGTAAAACATTTCTTATTAAATTAAGTTTGTTTGATGTTTAAATTTTGCATGTTGTTGTTTTTTTCGACCATTTGTTGGCCCTAATGACCTATCCTGTGTTGATGGGCCGTTAAGCATTTAATAATAAATATGATAATAATAATCTTTTGCGTGTCAGTATGTACGATATATTATAACGATGTGACAACCATGAATATGAAGAGAATTTAGTGCATCACATTTCAGTGGGGGTCAGGGAATACCATAGTAATGACACAGGCGTTTGACATAGTAAAATGAGTAAGATATGTGATATACACGTTTGTTTCACTGGGGATTACCAAGGTACTCCCAAGAAGAAGATTACACGTCCACTTTAATTGTTTTCAGAACTTCAAATTCCAGTATCATAGAGAATATGATACAATTACCAATATTTCATGTTATGTTCATTAATGATATCCTTTTAGAGTGTTCTGCCTGATAAAGTGATCCGTGGAAGAGAGATGTCTTATTACATATTATTAAGAAACCAGGGGTTTGCGGCGCCTGCTAAAGAGATGAACGTATACATCGTGCTCATGTCGTAAGTATGTTTTGTTTAACATGACACACATATTTTTTTAACCAACACACGTGTAAATGGAAGCAAATATAAACCTATTTCCAAAGTGTTTTTTGTATACGTAATATATTATTATTATACTACTTTACATGCATGGCATTTCGGCATCCGATCCGCATTATCGCATGCGTGTGATTGCTTTAAGGATAATTTTGTTTCAAATGAAACCTATCACCTTTACATTTTTACGTATCTAAAACATAATTGGAGTCATATTTAAAAAAATAATGGTTATGTTACAATATCATCGTACTTCTATTCTATCATATATCATATTGGATTTTATGTAATAAACACACAAATGTTTGGTTTTAGCTTGGCTCATTGCAAAAAAAAAACATCAACTCGTTCCATGAAATTAATTTGTACTGGAAACTCATGTATTATACTCTAGATGTCTCTCCTCCCTTCTCTCTCCCTTCCGACTGACTGACTCTAAAGCAATGTTTTGTCTATTACATAGGGCGGCCAATGGTATATACAAGGTCCCAGTGGAGACTAATACCCGACAGTGGCTTCCAAATGTAGATATAATCCTCCGGGGTAGCGCGGAGGTCCCCCGTTCAGTCACCCTAGCCTCCTACCAGGTAAGCGAAATAAGATATCCAATATGTTTCATCAGTCTGAAAATATGTAGTATCAACGTTTTACTGAAAAGGAAAGCTAGACAAAGGAACAAGTCGGTCCTGAAACGTTTCGATACGTTTGATAGTACATTGGTTGTGTAAAAAGTAACTACTTGTTATTACAAAATACAAAATGTTAAGTGTCTTAAGCCAGTTTAATTTGAAAGATATCGTACGATTGTGTGACGTCAAATTTCATTTTAAATATGATAGTCGAAGTAACTCTTTTTAAGGATCCCAACACGACTGTCAAAAACAGTAATTATCAATTAAAAACTTTTTTTCCCCGACATGACTCATTTCTGAAAGAAACATGATCGGGGATTGTACCCTTAACTCCCGAGTACCCTGCCTCCAGCACACACATGAACCCATACACAACACTGTTAGGTCATTTAAGGACATGCCTTCAAGCAAAGGCATGTCCTTAAACTACCATAACAGTTAATGGGACGTTACGCATCAGGCAGTAGTCATCCAAAAACAAAGTGTTGTTACTGTAAATAACAGAAGCATTTTCTAGTGTTTGTCTGCAGAGGGACAAGGATCCTTAATATTGCACCGCGTGAACAGTCATTAATGTATTTGCAATGATGATAGTCCATCCCAATTTTTTTAGGGAAACGAGTATGAATTCAAAAATAGACCAATAAGTATTTGAATGATTGGTCAGTCTTGTATATATCGATGCACATTTCATTCATATCCAATCTACAATTGCATTGCTTTGGTCGTTTATACTTGGTATGGCTGGATGACAGGTTATATTTCAGCATTTTGAATAACGTTACCTTCTCTTTGACATTTACATACTCTGCCTCCAATACACATGGACAATAAAAGACAAGGAGGCACGTTTTAAATGACCCAAGCTACAGATTTAATTTTGATAGCTATTTCTACGTGTTGAGGCTTACTTGAATGTTTTATTTGCAGGTGTGGATGGCTATTGGAGACAGGTACCTGAATGAAGAGTCCGACTACTACATTCTCCTCTCTAACAATATGGTTCCTTCCCCAGACATGGGCCTTAACAACTTAACTCATTCAATTACCGTATGTATCATATATGTTCTACTTATCACGATATGCTAAAATATATCCATTCGTTTTGCAATTAAGGGATTTTGGGTTTACGAATCCCCACCTGAGGGGATATTCTTGCGATTTCGCACAGGACATGTATATAACACGCATGCGTACTTGCCTCGGCGAGAAGATCATGCCCTTTTGTAATTAATTTGACGATTATACGTGTATGACTGTGTCTCGCATATTAATCGAATGTTTAGATTTTAAACATATTCGAGACAAATTTAATGACGTGCCTGATGTGAAAACTTTGTTTCATACAATTCATTTGTCAACATCTTTCGAATATCTGCGAGAAAGTGATCTCTATTATGAGTTTGAACTAACAAATAATGGATTATTATCTTACTATTTTGCGATGTACTTCATTGTTCATTCTCGTTATGACTACGATCAACATTGAGTTTAGCAACTAGCTTACACGGTCATTCGGAATTCGGAAAGTTTTATTCTCAAGGAGAAAATATGTTTTTCTAGACCGTATACGAAAGTTCTGGAAAAATGGTCCCTTTACTCACGATAATTGATCATATTAATCGAATTCTAAATAGTTAATTTTCATATTTCTAAAGACACTGAATGAATCTGGTGTCTTGATGCCACTTAGGAATTAGCTAAATTTAGTAAGATCAACATTTAAGCTTCAGGCAAATTTGTTTTAGGGTAGGCTTTCCCTTTTGGAACACCTGGTCTTTTCTCCGTGCTCTTTTCAAGGGTTTCCATGTTTATCGTTCCTTTGTTCTTATTTCGACCAGGATTTTATCGATTTGAACACTTCAGTATTTTCTTGATGGTTTTGTTTTATTAAGAGACATGCACATTCGATGCACACAAGTTGGTATTTATTTAATATTCTGTTCATCTCTAATGTTTCTGCGATACAGGTGATAGATGGAGTACCAAATAATTTTGCAGACTGTCCACACTTTGTGCCTTGGAATCCTCCACAGTTCGCTCGTCACCCTAGAATCTTAGGTAAGCTGTTATATAATATTAGGAGGCACGGTAGTCCAGTGGTAAAACGCCGGGCTCGTGACCGAAGGGTTGCGGGTTAGTACCACGGCACGGCAATGTGTTGAATCTTTGAGCAAGATACTTTACTCCGCTTGTTCCAGTCAACTCAGCTGTAAATGGTTACGTGGTTGGGCAGTGCTAGCTGTTAGCGCCGAAATGGCAGCTCCGGCTGTATGCTTCCCAGGGAGTTGAGCAATGTATTGGCTGGTTGTAAAGGACCTATAACCACGGATAATAATTTGTGAACCGCTTTGAGACGACCGACGAACTCGGTTGTGATAAAGCGGTATATAAGAACCTCCAATTATTATTATTATTATAAGCAAGCATCCCAAACATATGCAACTGCAACCCATTATTGCTGTTAGCCATGCGTTACTATGTTGTAAATGGTTTTGTTTGTATTTAGTTTAGCGTCCCTTTAACATACAGTATCAGGCCATTTCGTGATTGTTTTACATGCTTTCATATGTGTATGTGCAGTTAGTTGAGGTATTATGTTGGCGTATTTTGCCTCCGTGCAATAATGCGGATCGGATGCCAAAATGACATACCTGTACGGAATGTACAGACAATGCCCTACCTGTACGGAATGTACAGACAATTACATACTACGTTTTGGAAATAGGTTTATGATATATGCTTAAATGTACAAACATTAAAAAAACATTTTTAAATAAGTCCCAAAGACAGGTTTTTAAAGTATATCAAGGAGTTAGGACTAGAATAGCACTCGGCCATTCCGCCCATTACAATATACATATGGTACATATTTAAACACAACATTACGCAAACATTAAAACATTTTAACCTTTTAGTTCCTCTTGATACATGTATAGGTTAAGTCTTTTGAGTCGATAGGCCAATTATGGCAGTTTGGTGTCGAAGGGCCGTTGACCCTGAACAAACAAACAAACACCTCTCTATGATCAGAAGCTTGAAGAAGCAAAGTATAATTGTTTGTATGTTTGATATAAACTGTCATGATTTTGAATATATTTAGAACACCAACATAGTATTCAGTAGAATTGCACATGTGACTTTTCGTCCAGTAGAAACTTTCAAAAAGAGGACAATACATGTCCCGAAACATGTGCCTAAGAGAGTGTTCATAATGTTACCAAGTCACAAATCTGGTTGAAACACTTAAGTTATACTTCGATTAAGATTTTATGTACACCGTGCAAGTATAAATACACAAACAAGGTAACTGCTCATATCGGACTGATCATCCTCCAATTATCAACGCCGGGACTAAAAATTGAGTTTGACATTGGAAAAATCAATTAAGGAAATATCGTTTAAAAGTTCAGATAGCTCATTAAAAGCAATTAGAAAGAAAACTCACTTACTGAATTATAGAGTAATTTCGTCATTGATGATTCCGCAGTGTTAGTCAAAAGAGATTGATAACCGCATGTAATCTCAATTTTAGTTCTTATCTGGTTGATAACTATGTGAAAAGAAATTGAGAAAATGAGATCACTAACAATTCAAATACAAAGGTTGACAACAGATAGGACGGCAAAAACAAAAACATATAAATTACATAGATGTGTTAGGTTTATCTTGTTTAATGCAGCTATTGTAATTTGCACAGTGCAGAGGGCAATATCGCCCAAGCATACATAAACACACATTACAAACATTGGAGCACGTACTCTGATATAGCTGTTAATAGGACGTTTTAAACATGATAAAATCAAATCAAACCGTGTGTGTTCCAAGCGGTATGATGGAATTACCAGGTTGATATCAGCACCGAAAGACTGTGAACACGATGTGAGATTAATGCTAAGACGAACGAATTTCGTTGTCTGGATTTGGTTTATAACATATTTATTCCAATTATTTTCTAATTTGTGACATATTTAAAAGTGCCACTACGTTTAATCACCTTGTGAGTGAGAATCCATACGGGAACACCCGTTACATGACTATAGCGCTAATCTTTACGAATATGTTTAAATCACAACGTCAGAGCAATCCTACATCAGATTGAATGTGATCAAATATGTATTTGAATACGTGAGACTGAATATTTGTGTAAACATTAGATTTATTATCAAAGCAATTTGATTTCATTTTGACTATTTTTATAACAAAACCAATGACTACAGGACGAGGTCAGGCCAGTTTCATAACGAATTGATACAAAATCGACAATTCTCTATTCCAGAAAGCAGCGCTTGTCTTAAAACGAGACTAGCGAATAACGACTTCGAGAGCACTGGCAACTGGGTAGGGCTGTGGAAAGGTTTCCATTACATGCAAGATAAGGCGCAGGCTTTCAGTGGAAGCGGATACATCCAGATAAACAGTTCCACAGTAGGAGGCGGAGCCTACCAGGAAATGGTGTTCTTTGAGAAACCGAAAGTCAAGTAAGGGAAGCCTAAGTCAATGTGTCCGTTACCTTCATATGTGTCACTTCTGTCTAATGTCGTCCTTTTTGCTGACCATTGTCCACAAAGCAGTGACCGTTTTCTTTTCGTTCATGACGTCACTATTGTCCGGCTTCAGTTATGTTAGATTATGTTATCTGGCCGACGGGCGTGTTGTTCAAAAATGTTATCAGGCTGGCTAGGCCAGAAAACTTAGTGTTGCAGTATAATAGGGGAATGTGTCAAAAGTTTGAAAAATCCAAAGATTTCGTTTAACGTAGATTAAATTTTATTTATTTTACAAAATCAAAATTCATACCACAAATAACTGTTGATTATTAACACAAGCTTTTATTTTTTAACAAATGTTAACAAAATACAAATAAGAACAATTCAACAAAAAATTTAACGCAGTAACAATATTTGATTCTAACATGTACTTGTTTTATATTGTGGAAAGAATTTTACTTCAATTAGCATGAAAATTGCTGTTTGTAACGTCATCTCATACTGTATGGAGTGTTCGGCGTTGTTTTGGCACTGTGTTTCATAAAAACATTTCTTTGGGGGTAAACCTTTTGTTTAAGAAAACTAATTTGTTTTTCGTTTCCTATATTTCTTTTCTACTTTTTATTCTATCTACTGTTGTTTTCTATCCTTGGCGGTGTCTCCTTCATCATCCGTCCTTATATGATACTGGCTGATGTGGGACGTCCGATACAAACAAAGTATAGGCCCTTTTATACAAAGTGGAAGCTGGCCCGAATGTTTAATCACCCTACGTTTGTGGTTTTGTTCACATACGTTCTTATAAACAGCGCTGGATCTGCTAGTTAATCAGTCAGGCCTTAACCCAAACTTCCAAGTATCATTACTAGGGTTGCAGTCGTATTTTTTTTATTTGTTTGGGGTCAAAATCGTCCTCGCAGCAGAAAACGCCCTGTTCTTTAATGGGACGACATCAAGTGGGTACAGCAGGTCTATATTTCCCTAAAACTGCACAGGTTTCGTTGTGTTTTGACACTGATTATTTGGATTTAGTGGAATGTGGGGTTTGAGGAATTCAAACGGGTTGTTAAGTAATCCTGAACATTCACTTCTCAAAAAAAAGGTATCTTTCTATTGGAAATTTTCCAGTTTTACCCTAACGAACCTCATACCAAATTGAGGGAACGACTTCTTTTTCATATTATAGCTTACCTTTACAGAAAATGTTCAGGTGTTGATATGCATTAACAGATAAGAGCAGTTAAAGACATGACCAATGGGTTTAATGTATGCATGTGCACGGGCGATTGTATGTTGGTGTATTAAACCCGATCACATTGTACTGATAGCAGTCTAACCTGGTGATTGATTGATAGGTGTTACGTCCGCTTCACTAATGAGTAGTTCGGTTATCGAGCAGACGGAGAAAAGACGGGGAAATGAGTAGAAGGGATAAAGTGAAGGGAAAGACGAGGGAGAAACCTTTGTTTCGATTACCTTAAATACGGAACGTAAAATCTGAAATAACCAATACCATGTTAAGGACTGTGTATGGCAAAGCCTGGGAACAGAGCCTACTGCCGTTCCCAGTGGAGCGAACATTTAAAACTAAGGCCAAAGGTGACGTAGTGCCAAGCAAGTTTCTATGACTTATAACGGTTTTAAGATTTCGAAAGACGATATTAAGATACCAAAAGTGTGACCCCCAAGTAAAGGGCACAAACATAAATATCAAATTCTGCAGTGGTTTCAAACATGCAGAGGTATACAAACGGCGATATAAATATAAAGCTGTTCATGTATATGCCTTGTCCTTTAGTCTCTATTTTAGCGGCAGAAGTCGTCGAAGAAGCAGATGCACTTACCCTACCGAAACAAGTTGTTTTTGTTACTCGTTCCGCTGTTCATATCTGCCCTAATTTCATCAATTTTTAGCCAATGTTTAATTGACACTATCATACTATAAGCATTTGCTACTGTTTCTTAATGATACACTCCATATTTTTAATTTGTTGCAACGAACACAAACCTGGATTTCTCTTGTATTTGAGTTTATAATATAATTGGTAATGGATTTGAGATCGTAGAGTATTATTCCTTCGTATTGATAAATGGTATTCACTGTCGTTAATTTTTTAAGTCGATGTTCAACCTCAATTTTAACACGGCAATAGTTGAAATGGGTTCGATGTCAAAATGGAACCTGTCAATTAATGCATGACCATTTAACATCAATCAGATTCTGAATTAGTTTTTGTGAAAGGTGTCGTTGCAACAAATCAAGATTTCAGTCTAGGATACCATGCTGTAACACTACAATCTGTTCGGTTTTAAAGGGTATAGTGTTATGTTTACAACTCATGTGGTATATGGACGTCCCTCCATGTATGTATGTGTGTTAAAGGTGGTTTGTTCTTGAATTTACCTCCTTGCGAAAGCGCACATATAAAGCCGATTAAAGAAGGAAAAAATATTTATGATTAGTATAAATAGCCTTTATATTATATATAGTACTGTTACCTATTCTTTCAAACTATTAAGAACTGCATTTTGTGTTAACAGTCTTACCAAAATGGCGATCAAAGCCTGGGGAAAACACAGCGGGGAGGTGACTACATCTTCTTCCAATTACAGTCTGTACTGTGATGTTAACGTAAGTATCTAAGATTATCAAACGTTACACGATTATCAACATATCAATATCTAATTAATCAACTCAAAATAAATATCACAAAGGCCCTTTCTTCTCTGTCAGCGCCGACCTTCCAAACATAGACGGACCATCTACCAATTTAAATACCGGGTTGCCACGATTGATTCAGTCCGGTTCCGCTACATGCGTGTACACTGCAATTAAACAATATTTCACTTTATGTTGATATAATGTATATTGTACAACGCACTACTAAAAATGTTCTGTTATAGCTACAAAATCAAAAAAGTGCCTATGGACTGAGTCGGCCTTTCCTTCCCGGACCACAAGGAACTAGATGGAACAATGTCATTGTCTACATAGATCAACCAAAGGTAAAAAAAACACTTATGGAGGTGCATAAATACGACAATAGATCCAAAAGGGTATTTACACTGTATAGAACAACAGAAGTATCACCATTTATCAAAAATGGGTAAATACACTGCATAAGACAGCGTCATTGTCATCTTAGATCAATCATGGGTACGTACATTGCATAAAAGAGGTCCACTGCGCAAAAGATCCAACCTGGATAAGTACACTGTATGAAACATCGTAATTGTCGTCAAAGATCAAACATTGTATGGAACAGCATGATAGTCACCATGGGTCAAAGTCGGTAAATCCACTGTCTTGGACAATGTGATTAATGCCAAATATAAGTCGTGGGTAAGTACACTGTATAGAAAAGCGTTATCGTTACCATAGATTCAGTATGCGGAAGGTCAATGTATAGATTAACGGTATTGTCACCATATAATAAACATGAACAAGTACACGGTATGGAACAGATAATTGTCATCGAATAGATTAGTACATTGAATAGAACAGAGGGATTCAAGCACGAAGTTCAATTATGGAATAATGTCATTATCACCATATACCACACATTGGTATCTACACTCTTTAGAATAGCGCGATTATCGCCTTAAAGTAAATATGGGAAAGTTCACAATATATAACAACGTGAATGTCGTTATATAATTAACATGGGTATTACCCTTAATAGAACAGCGCTATGATCGCTATAGATCAAACATGGAAAAACACACGGTACATAACAGCGTGATTGTCGCCGTATGGGAAACATAGATAAGTACACTGCATAGAAACGCGTCATTATCACCACAGCTCAAGCATAGGACAATACACAGTACAGAACAACGTGATTGTCGCCTTTTGGTAAACATTGGCAAGTACACTGGACAGAACATCGTGATTGTCTTTTTATGGTAAACATGGGTAAGTACACTGCATATAACAGCGTCATTACCACGACAGATCAACATAGGACAATACACATTACAAGACAGCGTGATTGTCGCCTTATGGTAAACATGAGTAAACACCGGACATAACAGCGTGATTGTCGCCTTTTGGTTAACATGGGTAAGTATACTGGTCAGAACAGCGTGGTTGTCGCCTTAATGTACACATGAGTAAGTGCACTGTACATAACAGCGTTATTGTCGCCTTTTGGTTAATATGGGTAAGAACACTGCATAGAACAGCGTGATTGTCGCTTTATGGTTAACATGGGTAAGAACACTGCATAGAACAGCGTCATTACCACGACAGATCAACATAGGACAATACACGTTACAAGACAGCGTGATTGTCGCCTTATGGTAAACATGAGTAAACACCGTACATAACAGCGTGATTGTCGCCTTTTGGTTAACATGGGTAAGTATACTGGTCAGAACAGCGTGGTTGTCGCCTTAATGTACACATGAGTAAGTGCACTGTACATAACAGCGTGATTGTCACCTTATGGTAAACATCGGTAATTACACTGGTCAGAACAGCGTGATTGTCACCTTATGGTAAACATGGGTAAGTACACTGGTCAGAACAGCGTTATTGTCGCCATGTAAGTAGTTAGGTTTCGTTATAAAAAGGAAACATTTACGATCGCACCTTTGATATGGTGTCTTAAATCGTACAGATTTAGTGTCAAAATTATTTTTCCATCAGGCGGATGCATTGATTTTTTTTTTAATTGTGAATGTTCGTTTTGAATTGACAATTGAGTTACATATTTATCGTCTCCGTTTTTCTGTTGCAGGGTATCAAGAATGTTACCTGCTACTTGCTTTTCAGAGGATTTAATACCGGTTTTGCGTCCTTTGATAAGATGGATGTCTGGCTTCTATCTGGAAATGCCATAATGGACGATTGTAATTTCACATAAATCCGCCTTCCAAATATCATCATATCCAAGGAAACTGGAAACTTCTCTGGATACATCTTTGAATTTTCAATTTTACCTGTCAACAGCTAATGAATTGATAACTTGAGTGGGAAGTCATGATCAATTTTTGATTGAATAAATGTCACACCTGAAGCTTGAAAAGATTGATAATATAATGTCAATTTGGTAAAATATTTATTCCGTCTTAAGCAGGTGATATTTAAACACATGACTATGAGTTTGACACTTTGTGTTTGAATTAAACAGGAACCAATTGTATAATGTGTTCTAAAAGTTTTTGTTGTTTGTGTGCCTACTGCTGTTAAGGACTCAGTTAACCTTGCGGAGATTTTCACCTATTAAGCTGACGCGATCTTTCATTGTAAACGGTTGAACATGTTATATTCTGGAAAGCAATAATTTCTTTTAATAATTATATCGCTATAACTCATTAATCTTTTTGCAACACATCGTAGTTTTTGTGTTCACAGTAAATTCTTTTATCAAAGTATAACTGTAACGATAAAGGTTTAATACACATGTACCTAGCTCTGTTCAAAACATGTCAATTGTAATAGTTCGTTTGTATATATATTTAACCGTAAATAAAATCAGTTTCTCCTAACAAACTTAGTTCACATATCTAAACTCCTAACATAACAATTATATCACTGAACAAAATTCCATCGGTAAGATAAATGGAAGGATTTTAATGGGGGTGGGGTTCACCGGCTATTAGCTGCTTGCACGTTCATTGTCATTTTCAACCAATACTACGTAAACTTGTAATAAATAAAATAAATATATAAAGGTATAACCATATCCAAGTGTTATTTTTTAAATGATGCATGTTGTAGTGTTGTGTTTTTGTGTCAATTCATAAGTTTATACGAATGGGTCCGGTTGGAAATACTTTTAAAATTAAAATTAGTAATGGTATCATCCGGTAAAAGTGTAAAAATACGAGAAATAAAGGAACTGATCTCGATACTAAATGACAATTTAAGAAATAAACGCGACGGGGTAGGCGAGGGGTACCGTGAACGGTATCCAGTCGATATTTCGAGTAGTTTTCTGCGGATTAATTCAAACTTCATAGGAAGGTTCATTACCATAATAGTTCGGACAAGTTCGATAAACGCAAGGTATAGACCTTAATTTACGGCGTTTTGGCCCTTTATTTATTGCCCTTAACCGAGTCTGTTAGATATCTCGAGTAGCTTTCAATAGATCAGCTTCAAACTTCATGGGAAAGTTCATTACTATAACAGCTTGGTAAAGTTCGATAACCGTAATTATCAGACCATAATTTACGGAGTTTTGGCCCTTGACTCAATTACCAAAACGTTTTCAACAAATGAACTTCAAACTTTATAGGAATGTTCATTGCCATGATAGCTCGGACAAGTTCGATAACTGCAATTATCGGACCGTAATTTACAGAGATATCCCGAGTAGTTTTTTACTGATTTGCCTCACACCTCATAGGAAGGTTCATTGCCATGATGCAAAGTTACATATTTGGTTGTAGTAAAGGGAATAAAATTCCTCTGAAAGGAACCTGATGTCGAGTTCCAAAACATTTGTAGGATTTCAAATATCTTAGACTTATCTCGAACATGTTTGGTTTTAATGAATACTAAAGTATTGTATTTTGCGACTAGGTGGGGATGTGGGCTGTAACATGTCTTCAAGAGGCTTCTTTTAAATATATTTTTTCATAAGATAGGACATTGCTTTTCTTGGCCAGAGTACGGTAAATTTTAACATCCTGATCGTGTAACTTTACTTTCTATCTCGAATTTGAAATACTCAAATTTCAACTTGCTTAAAATTTCGATATTCTTTACTGAAAATTTGACCAATTTAACATTTAATCATCCAACTTGAAATTCGAAAATATTAGCTCAAAACGAGACTGTGCACAGTGGCCCTCTACAGGGTTCTAGCAAATGAAATACATACCATAAGAACAGAATATCCTTGAAAAGATTATTGATGTTACTCAGCGCTCCGTGCGCGGTTTCGCAATAGTGTGGAGACCCCATGTGTCTTTAAATCAATATGTCTTTAGATATTTCTAACTAAAATGGTAATGACTTTTCACTTTTCGAAAACACATTCAAATGACCTTTCTAGCAGTAGAGGATTGTTTTTTAAAAAAAAATCTCATACAAACTTTGTGATGAGAATTTTATCATTCTGAATTTTGCAAATAATTTCATCAGTGACATCATAATATAATATTTCAATTCCTACTCAAGTTGACCTCAATGCAACTACCAAATGTAACCTGTTTCATTTGCCGATGAATTTGACCAGATTAGCATTTCCAGTGTGTATGCCTTTGCGAACGGAGATAACTATTGACATGTTTAAACAAAGATGTCCACTTGATGAAATTTTACATTTTTATTGAAGCTACACAAAAACTACACAATCGCCATCATATTATCAGCTCATGGTTGCGAGCGGTAGTGACAAGGCATATACTGCCCTAGAAATTCTCCCTCCAGCAACCCATTCTGCCTCTTGTGTTAGTATCAACCTCCGGAACCGGGCACGGTAGTCTAGTGGTAGGACGCCGGGCTCGTGACCGAAGGGATGCGGGTTCGAGTCACAGCACTGCACTTTGTGGTATCTTAGAGAAGGATACTATGCTCAGCTTGTTCCAGGATACTCAGCTGTAAATGAGTAAGTGGATGGGCAGTGCTAGAATTGAAGAATGCTAGCTGTGAGCGCCGAAATGGCAACACCGGCTGTATGCTCCCCAGGAAGTTGGGAAAGATATTGGCTGGTTGCAAAGGCCCTATAACCAAGGATAACAATGTTTGAACCGCTTTGAGACGACCTACGAACTTGGTTGTGATAATATTCAAGTATAGCCTTTGGCTGAGGTCGATACCTGGATTTATCAACCCGAGAAAAGATGTATTGACCGAGGTTAATATATTTTTTCTCGGGTCGATAAATGCAGGTATCGACCGAAGTTAAAGGCTACAATTGTTTTATTATTTTCAAAACAGTAAGCAATCTGTAAAATAAAACACAACATAAACGCTACTAAAGCGGACCGGTGCGTTTGTTTTGAGACACGTCATAATTCTGTTTTTAGAAACACAAAGTCTTTCAACAAAAATCACGCGCTCCAAGTCAATATCGGTTTTTATCGGTGAACACGTGATGCAATCACTTGTCGGGAATAATATGAAAAAAAATAAAGCGGTATATAAGAACCTCGAAAAATTATTATTCGTATCCATTAACAATATAACTAGAAATCGTTGGCTAACAACAATTTGACGGGCTTTTCACTGTAAGGACTGATTTGGCCTTCTAATAATAACCGGTGCAAGTCTACAGTAACTGGCCAAGTAGTGGGGGATTCCCTGAGTGTGAAATGACGTCAGAAAAAGAACGGATAAATATAGGCAGCCAATGGGCTTAGTTGTATACGAATGTAGTCTGTAAAGGTCGTCATATAGGCCGTCCACTATGTACGTCAGGATGATGAATTGAACCTAGCTTTTTGTCTATATCGGTTGGGTTTGCCATGCAAAAGAAAGGCTGATGTTTACCCTCTGCAGTAGAATCGTAAACTGTCCCTACTTTTAAGAATGAGAGTGCGTAGTAATCGATGTAGTTTTATCAGCGTGTATTAGATGTCTTGATATAAATCAAAGTACTGAGAGTACTGAGAGCACTTGACAATCGCACAAAAATTGAAAACGGTTTTTGACTTTCACCTTTGAAATTATATGTATATTTTTTTAAACATTTGACCTTTGTGACCTTGATAGTTGATCAAGGTCAACCATTTGTTCAAATCTGATACCCAAACATCACAGCATCTTACATATTAAATATCAAGACTCTAGACTTCGTGGAACTTAAAAAGTAGATGTTACCAAATGTAGTGCATTTAAACTTTGATCCCTACCAAAATCCGGAAGTTGACATATTTTGTTAACATAATATGAAAAAAAAAGTTTGCTCTTGCTTATCCCTATATGATATTCAAAGATCAACCTCGCGCTTGATATCGTTAACGAAATATATTGGTATAGACTGTTAACCAATCAGAGTTCGTGGCAGCCATCTTAGAATATTGATTGCTCCAAAAAGAAACATAAGTTCGTAAGGGCCCTCAGAGGAATATATGTACCAATTGTGGTTAATATTGCAATGGCAGAAGTGGAGAAGAAGATCGTTGAAGTTTGTAAAAATAGTGTCGGCTTTTCAAACAAGATAAAAAAGCAATAATGAACACGCCATAGGACGTTAACGGAAAATGTTACAGAAAAACTAAAGACATCAAATTCATCAGAATGGCATTCTACATCGATCTTTAGAAGAATTTATCAAAACAAATGAAAACTGATATTTTTTTTTAAATGGTGACCTTTAACCCAACAGGGAGTTTTTTTAATTGAAATATTTTGTATTAATATTTATAAGAAAAAGTTAGATATGGAAATTATCTACAATTGATATAATTGCTCAAATTCTGTACAATCAACTATTTTCGAGTTATAGCGGTTTTAAAGATTTTAACCTATGACGTCATGGCGGCCATATTGGATTTTTGACCTACTTGAAAATGTTCCTGTAACATCTTCAGACCTTGGTTTACAACATACTTAAAAGAGTATAAACCTATCTTCTACCAATCAAAAGATACAGACTCCACAAAAGTAGGGGGAGAATAATAATAATAATAAGAAGAAACATAACAAAAACAATTGGTCTTTTCACCAGTTGGTGAAAAGCCCTAATTATAATAAAGTAGGATGGAATTGAAGTGAAACATTTTTCCACATATGTCACAGTGATCATTTGTTTGGCAAGTTTTAGCCTTAACAAAACAGAGGCGTTTAAAGAATTACAGAACGTCCGCATTTAGCATTGCTCAGCTTTTTACATATTTGGTCTTCACTAATGTGTGCTTACATTGCCGTGATCATTCAGAGTTTGTCCGAAATAACTTATTCCCTTTATTGCCTTTCCATATGTTTTTGTTAACAAAAATAAGATGGCTGTGATATTAAAGCAATCATGATAAAACGTTTTCACTAAAAGCTTCTGTGCAAATAAATATATAATAAAAGGGGCTAGAACCAAGGGTGCATCCGTGATTGTGTTGGTTTCGTTATGACATGTTAACACACATTTTTTAGTTGAATGGTTGCAGGAATCTCAAATACATGTACTTCAATACTTATAAACCTGTACTAAGGCCTAAGGGGCGGGACTGAACCTGAAAGTACTTGTTGTAGCCTAAGTGTATTCATATTTTCATGACCAGCAGTTACATAAATAGTTGGCAGTCTCTACCATTGCCATGCGAATGCTATGACCAAGAGACTTAATCCCAAGGGATCAGCATAACCAGCAGGCTATCATAAAAGCATAATGCCAAGCCAGCACATATATGGTCAAAGAGTTGAGGTCTCAACCGTTCCATGATTTGATCCAAACACTTAGTCCACATGCCCATACATCCTAACTGTCTCTCTATGGTTATTCGGTGGGGAAATATAGGGAAGGTTTAATAAAATGCTATATTTCGCTGTAAGGACTCTGTGTAAAAGAAACAACCAAATCAGAACATTATTTTAGAATGAGTTACTGAAGCAATGTATATCAACAAAGGGGCATTACTCCATCAATTCGGGAGCTAATACTCATGTCCCCTCATGATCCATGTACGCATTATATGTACCAAGCATCATTGAAAGTATGTGTTCTTTAATAGTGCAAACAATGCTTTTAAAGGGGTATACCTTCATCCATTTTGCATACTCTATTCACACA